GGCCCCGCGCACCAGCTGCTGCGTCGCGCCTCGGCAAGGCCAACAAACGGCTGCAGGGCCGCAGGCAACGCGCAGAAACGAGACGTGGGAGAATTAATGCCCGAGAAGCGGGAGAATTAACGCCAGGCCAGGGATTGAATTTCTGTCTGCTCAGCAATCGCGGCTCTCAGACGCGTGAAACGCACCCAGGACCACAGCGCAAACCCTTCGCCCAGACTCTCGGCTGCCCCGCGCGCCCTTGCCTCAATGGGCTCCGGGCGCCTCGTCGAGCATCACCAGCTATTAGCGTACCTGCGGGATGCAGGGCACGTGGAGGCTGCTGCTGCGCCCCTAAAGCTGCTCCCATCTTGGTGCCACCTCCCTTTTCAGCATCGTGCTCATCTTTCTCACAGGTGACTCAGTCGAGCAAGAGATGCAGCCAGCCCAAAATCGCAAGGCTGCACGTAGGCTCCTATTTGCCCCTTGCTTAAGTTAATGGCTGCCACCCACTCCAAACCGTTCAGCTTTCCAGCTCAGCCAGGCACAGCTATTCCTCTGGGCTTTTAAAATAGCTTCCCCGGGGAGGAGGTTACCTGCATCTCCCTCTAGCGTCGGCCCCGGGCCGAGGGGGCTCTGGGGAGCTGCCGTGAAACTCTGGCGGCAGCTAACGCTCTGAGCTGGCCTGCACCAGCGGCAGGAGGCCCCCAGAGTCTCAGGGTTTCAGCACCGGCGTTGACATGTGGCCTCTGACCAGCCTTGGCCAGATGCGCTTTCAGAGAAGGCCACAGGCTCGCGGTATCTGACATCCATCACGTCGGAGGAGTAAGGCACTTGCCTTGTTTCTCCAGGGTTACAGGAGGTTGAGGTGCCCTCAGAATTACAGTACGCTTCTGCCTCCCTTAGAGGTGCACTTGCCAACGCGTCCAGGTCCTGCAAACACCCACACAACACTGCCGATGCCGGAGCTGGGATGCAGGGTTGGCGACGCTACTGATGGACAGCAGGCTCCACCATCCTTTTTTCACTCTCTTGAAGCCAGTGAAGAGAAATCAGCCAAAGACAGGGAGTTGTGGAGAAGTAGCCCATCCCCTGGAAAGCAATCAAAGGTGAGGGGTGGTTTCCTGGAGTGTGCAGCACTTGTGAGGAGGAAGATCCCAAACTGGAGGACCT